CTGAAAAGTGGCAACTAAGTACAAGAAAAAGACCTAGATGAGTGAGTATGCCCACAGAGGACAGAATGGCAGAAATCATTCATCGTATTTGATTGCCACATCTTAGCTAATCAGACTGTAGGCCAGGCTCTGCACCTGCACTATTCTTCTTTTTTCCTTGGAGTGAGGGAGAAAGGACCCAGGGAACAGGAGTGGAGAAAATGTGGGGTTATTGTGTGTGGCACGGAGCAGTGTGCAGTCCACAGGGGACAGAAGAGACAAGGATACACAGGAAGACAAATTGCATGTGTTCTGATACTAAGGGATTTATTTCTAATCCCATGCAGAGCTCAGGAATTACTCCAGGTCTTTGATACTTTAAAGAGATTTTTTTTTCAATGACCTGCATGGTTCACTCTCCATTCCCAGCTGAAATAAAGCTATTTAGAAACTCAGCTGTATACCATACAGTAGCTTTACACTTGCTCTGTAAGTGGATCTGAAATTCTAGGAAGACTTATTAATGCCCATGAGGTTCAAAACACATCATCTTGTCAGGTTTGCCCTCCTCAGCTTCAGGTCTGCTTGTCTACAATTACAATGGCAGCGACTAAGTCAAAAACTGAGAGGAGAAAGTGGGCAACCATGTTCAATGAGCTGAAACTGCTTTAGATATCATCACAGCCTGAATATGTGTGTGGCCTCCGAACATTCTTCTGATCCCAGCTGACTGTCAAAAGTTTTTCTATACTAAATAAGATTAAATTTCAATCCTGGCTTTTTTTTCATCCTGGTCTTTGTGTATGAGAAGGAGTCATAGCTTCTCGGTATTATTTCATTTTAAATATTTGTTTCCGTGGATCTTACACTAAAAGTAAAAAGAAAATTCCTTGAGTACACTTTTTAAACTTTCAGGGTTATTAAATAGGAAGAAATGGAAAAATTTAAGTGATGCAGAATTAATTTATTCTTTTTCTTTCAGTCTTGACTTAGGTAAGACGTATCTTCTGTATCACTCTGAGGCCCTTGCTGTAATCTGTGAGGAATGTTTCCTTTAGAAGTAATTGTTTTTTATCTACATAGTAGAAGAGTTTAAGAAGGTAAATTTGTGAGAACTTAATTTGAACGAAATGTTATGAAAATATTTGTCAACAGTCTTTTAAGACATTCACATGATTTTTTTCTTTTACATACTGTGTTGTTCAAAGGTTAGAACTTCAAGTTTGGCATGTTGATTCAGTAAGCCTTGTAACTCAACCTGCTAGTTAAATAAAACCCACTGGGAGCTGATGCCATACTTCTTAATATCCTGTCACTGTAAAAGAGTGCAATAAGGAATGATGCTACTTTCCCTCCCAGGGTTTGGATGTAGGTGTTTCTACAATAATAGTCACAGAACTCATTACAGATCCAACTACCCATGGTGCATTTTAAGATGTTGATGCCACAGCATCCTTAAGACACGCTGGTATATATCACAAATTGCTTTTCCAAGAGCATGGCTCCTGTTCTCCACTGCAATATTAATAACAATGGAAAGATAGAAATATAAATTGCTGCCTTATTATAACGTTCTTAGCCAAAGATACATGAAGTCTTTTCTTTTCTTAAACAGCCAGTTTCAGGCAGGTGAACAGATCTGAGTAAACCAGCTATAGTCAGGCTTGTGTGGAATGCACAGCTGGACTCCAGACACTGACTCATTCTCCAAATACCAGTACCCAGCTCTTTTTCCAAGCGGTTCTCTTAAGCCAATAAACCTTCCAGCTTCCCATAATGTACTGTCAGGCTGAGGTCACGTCAATTTTGACATAAAAAAGTAAGTGTCCACACCCATAAGGAGGAAAATAAGGGAGGAAATTTGGAACTAACTAGCCCCAATAAAAGAAAAATGAAAAACGAAACAGCAAACATCAGAAAACAATACAACCAAAAACAAATAGAAACCTGGAAAACTTACAGACAATTCTAGAACTTCTTTGTAGAAACCACAGTGGAAATATTCTTCATCTTTGTTAACCAGGCCACCTTCTCTAATTCTTCTGCTTTTCTGTTGCAAGAAGAAGGGGAAAACAACTTATACTTGGGGGGGGAAATCTGCCCTTAGTTAAAAGGAACAAGACAACTGTGTTTGGCTTTGTAAGATACTACAGCTGAACTATAAAGAAAAAGTGCTAAATTTTAATGAGTGGTAAATCTAAGAAAGTAAGCAATGGTCTACACCAGCCCCAGTCCTGCTGTCATATGTAAAAACACTGCTTTGAAAGACTGGTTGCAAAGTCTTGCTATAAATCTCAGATAGGCTTTAGGCCTTTGCCTTCAAGAGTAAGAGAAAGATTTTGCATTCAATAGAAAGCCTCTACAGGAACAAATATAAGAAAGAAACTTTAAAATATATATATATATATATAATTAAATCTGTTGGAATGCAACAAAAATTTCAATCCTGTTTGAACAAATTTACTCAGAGAGCTCTTTTTATGATGTGTGGAAATTGTAGGAAGAAAACCCAAAGGACCTCTGTTTCTTTGAGATTTCCAGTCTTTAGAATTGTTGGAAAAAAAAGTCTCTGAGATGGTGGTTGCATCAACACGAACATGAAGAACACCAGCATGGAGTATCAGGTTATCACAGAGATCATTATATTTGTCATGGATTTGTGAGGTGCTCAATACTTGCACATGTTACTCCATGCTCAGTGTTTAATTACACATCTGCCGTCATTTCTGCTCACGATCAACTGTATGCATTTCACTGAGAATGCAAAACTATACACTGAAGCATGCAACACCATTCAGACACCCATGTAGGTAAGTTAAAATACTTTATCTATAAAGAGAATGCTTTCAAAAGTAAATGCATTTGGGAAAAAAAAAACACCCAAAAAAAAAAAAAACCCAAAAAAACCCAACTTCTGCTTTTTTTGTAAGAATACATCAGTCCCACCTGAAATGTAAGTATAAAATATAGCAACTGCATTCATTTAGATTAATTATGACTTGTTCATGCCCTTGAACTGTTGCTGGATTTGTTACAAAACATGAGGTGTTCAACATTCTAATACTTATTCTGAAAGCTCTATATTGTTAGTAACAGTGAAACTGATACACTTTGTGCCTTCCTTTCAAGTGTAAGCATAGTAGTCCCTTCTACTTCTTGTGGCTATACTGCAGGCAATTTTTACTAATTATTTCAAAGTGATTTATTTGTTTTCTGCAATGGTGCTGTGCAGTTTTCCAGACGGCGATCTGCGAGTGAGATTTCTTCATATTCATGTAGATAGTCTGAAGAAAGATTGCCAAGATACTGCTGCCAAGAGTTATTCTGGTTCAGCAATCTGAAAATAAATCAACAGTTTATCAGCACGCCCTGAGTTTCAAGCAGAGCTGCAGTAGGAACTGATGTCATCAGTGCTGGAGGGTGGGGATGAAAGTTTGAGTTCTGAGGCTTGATTCTGTTTTCAGTCAAACCAATACAGTTTTAGGGAATATTTAGTAGGGAGAGGGGTCTTTATTTGAATTTTTCATGTTTGTTTTTTGGTAAACTAGTCAGCGTGGCTTCTTGAACACCATTTCCAGAGACACTCAGCCAAAGGTGAGGCAATAATAAAACAGAAGTAATAAAAAGACAAAGTCCGAAAATCTGAGACGTGATGCAAATATTTTGTTTCTAGTAGGAAGGTGGATAAAGAATTAGCTAGCATGCTCATCATCTTGATATTGCATGTTTGCCTGCAGCAGCTACCAATTAATTTGGAATTGTGCTTGCATGAGAAATATGGGAGCTCCCTTGAACTCCTTATGTTGGTATTAACTCATAACAGGGAACAGGACTTATTATTTCATATAAGGGAGAATCTTTTCCCATAACTTGCAATAACGTTTAAGTTTTCACTAATGTGCCTCATCTGCATTTGAAACAGCAACAACAACAAAAACAAAAAACAAACAAATAAATGAGGCAAACAAAAGGAAAATAAATCAGCTACCCAGGCACCTAAATTTATGCAGACTGGATGTCCTTTTAGAGATCATCAGAGCACTTACCTATTTCTAATAGTCCCATAGGAAATGACTCCTTCTTAAAGAAGATCTTGAAAGATAGGTGCAGGCACAGTGGCTCTAGATGTGGCACATTGGATCTCCCTGTCTCTCCTTTGATGTTTATTTTTGGGGCTCCCACTTGTAACAGTGGAAGTGCTCTTGGTAAGCCTAATACAGCTGCCAATTATGGTTAGGTTGGAATTTTACAGACTGTTTTGCACAGCAACTGGGCATTAGAAAACTCAGCATGTGTAAGTACTGAATAGAACATTTTTTCATGATCAGGTCATAAGCTCAAAATGGGAAATCTGTCTGGCCATGTCTGTATTATTCACTATCCCTAAATAAACACCCAAAAGAAAATTCTTGAACAGCAGTGGGTTTCCTTTGCTACAGACAGAATAATACTTTGAAATTTTCAGACAGTAATGGTTCTCCTTATAAAAACATTTTAAACTTTCTTTGTATTATTCTCAGTCCTTATAATTAGTGTTTTATATGGTTTAAAAATGATTGAAATCTTGGACTAGGTTTCATATGGTATTATTTTATTTTGGGTAGCAGTATTTTTGGAATTAATGACATTTTTCAATTACTTACAGATTACTTGATAAGAGAGAATCCCATTATTTACTACTATACAGGTACAAAATGGATTAATCTTGAAAGCATATTAGAAATGCAGCAAATGTGTTACATGTAACAAATGCATTTTCTTCTTGTAGATTAGTTCAGTGGTAACAATTTCCAAGAAAGGAAAATGTCAGTATCTATACAGGTAGGCAGACTGAAAAACTGGTTTCCACATCTCAGAAGCTCACATTTAGTTATGGCGAGTTATGCTTGGAAAAGAAAGGAGGAGATCCATGTGCAGCAGAATACGCTCAGTCTACAAATTAATCTGCTTTCTAAGCTCTGATGCTTTATTTTTCAAATCTTCTTGTCTGTTTGTTTAGGAACAACTATGCAGCGGATGAGCTGAAGCTGTATTTATGGTGGTTGGACAGGATGTTTGTGTTAACTGCTTGGTCACTGCTGTTCTGCACAGGAAAGTAGCTGAGTTCTGCTGATCTTCCGCATGGTGGGAATTTCAGTCTCTCTCTCCTTTTTTCCAGGCTCTAATTTCTCTGATTTTTGGGAACATCCTATCTTTGATACTTCAGCCTCTCGCTAACATTAATCATATAGTCAAGAATTGTCAGAGGAAGAAAACCCACAACAATACAGACCCCAAAGCCCCAGAATATCAGCCAAAAATATTTAAAGCATATGACCATCTTGTAACATTGCATAAGAATGGCTACTTTCAGAAAAGCCTTGCACAGGGGCAGGACAGATCCTTCCTTGAGAAATACTCTGAAAAATGATGCTAAGGGATTGAAAATAAGATATATAACAGAACATAGGGCTGGTAAGCCTGTTCACCACAGCAACCTAAGTGTTCTGAAGATGCATGCAGTGAGAAGACCTGTCAGGATAAATTTAAGATGACTGTAAGATATATCTAGATTTCCTCCACCTATGTACTAGAGTTTTGGACAGGCAATATGGGGACATAATTCTTAATCCAAAAGCCCTGATAAGCGACTTAGAATGTCATAAGGGATGTAACCATCATTACCCCTACTTAAATATATTAACGCTGGGAGACCGAGAGTGTATTCTGACCAAAATAGCCCTCTGAGCCTTTCTTCAGTGCATGATTCATGCCTTGCTCGCTTTGGAAACTGAAGGAATTTAAAGGCCAGCTCAGAACATTTGCCATTTATTTATAGTTAACACAAAGGTATCTGCTTATCACAGTCAGGAAAAAAACCTCAGTATAAACTGAACGGCAAGTATTTAAAAAAGTAATAAAAAGCATGAAGCAGAAAAGTTACTGCAGAACAGTCACACAAAGACTGGGTGGGCCAGTAAGGACAGAGATACACTCCTGCAATAAGGCTGTTAAGGTGTCTGGGAAAGCCAGGTCACTAAAGGAACTGAGTTACGTGATGGAGAAATCTGAGGACTCAGTAAGCAACAACTTTAAAAAATATTCAAACAATATTTGTAGAAACTGAAACATCAAGAAAACAAGTTACGAGAACAATATGTATAGTGACTATATTATGCGAGAATTCAGTCAGGCTGATGGTAGAAGCTGTAGATAAGATTAAGGATAAATTAACCGTAAGAACTGAAAGTGAGCCAGGAGCAGAGAAGGGACATTCTAAGCTCTGCTATCCTCAGATCTCCAAGCATCCTGGACATAGTGAGAACATGGGGTAGCTTGAAAAAGAGACAACGGCATATTTACCTTCTGTTTAACAGCTGTAGTTATGCAAGTACAAAATAACTGGGCTCCAAAGAATTAGCACTGCTGTGGACACTGCTAATCACTACAACAACAGGGGAGTAGATAATGTGCAATCGTGTTTACTGCAAAATAAGGGCTTTGTTTTTCTGTTAATTAGGTAGCACAACGTTAGGTGTTTGAGGTATGCTGGATCGGACTGTGTTTGGTTGGGGTGGTGGGGACAGTTTGACAGCTGGCCGTATGGATGATGTAAAACATTTGTGAGGTGGGTAGTTGGAACACCAGTGATTCTGTTAAAAAACATTTCCAAAATCAGAGTCTACTGGCAATGTTGCTGTGGAAATGATGATAATAGAAATGTAAAAAAAAGTAAGTAAAACATTATTGTGAGAACTGTCAGTGTGTATAGGTTTTGATAAATAAGTCAGTAGGAAAGTTTGGGTTATGACACCTATTGAAGAGCGGTTTGGGGAGTTTTCCCCCAAGGTGAGATATTTTTCCTTCTTTGCTTCCTTTTCCCAAGAAAAGGATTTCTGTGTGAAGGAGCTAGCACTACCCTCACAAGATTTATTCGAGTCATAGAATCATAGAATCACTAAGGTTGGAAAAGACCTAAAAGATCACCCAGTCCAACCGTTCACCTATTCCCAATAGCTCCTACTAAACCATGTCCCTCAACGCAACATCCAGTCTTTCCTTGAACACCCCCAGGCTCGGTGATTCCACCACCTCCCTGGGCAGTCCATTCCAGTGCCTGACCACCCTTTCTGAAAAGTAATACTTCCTCATGTCCAGCCTGAATCTCCCCTGCCGTAGCTTGAAACCATTCCCCCTGGTCCTATCACTAATGACACGAGAGAAGAGGCCGACCCCCAGCTCACTACAACCTCCCTTCAGGAAGTTATAGAGAGCAATAAGGTCTCCCCTGAGCCTCCTCTTCTCCAGGCTGAACATTCCCAGCTCCTTCAGCCTCTCCTTATATGGCCTGTGTTCCAGACCCCTCACCAGCTTTGTTGCCCTCCTTTGAACACGTTCCAGGGCCTCAATATCTTTCTTGCAGTGAGGGGCCCAAAACTGGACACAGTACTCGAGGTGTGGCCTCACGAGTGCTGAATATAGGGGAACAATCACCTCTCTGCTCCTGCTTGCAACACTGTTTCTGATGCAAGCCAGGATGCCATTGGCCTTCTTGGCCACCTGGGCACACTGTCGGCTCATATTCAGCTGAGCATCAATCAATACCCCCAGGTCCATTTCCTCTACGCAGTCCTCCAGCCACACCGCCCCAAGCCTGTAGCGTCGCCTGGGGTTGTTGTGGCCGAAGTGTAGGACCCGGCATTTGGCCTTGTTGAAACTCATCCCATTGGCTCCAGCCCAGCTCTCCAGCCTGTCCAGATCCCTCTGTAGGGCCTCGCTACCCCCAGGCAGATCCACACTTCCAGCCAATTTGGTGTCATCTGCGAATTTACTGAGGGTGCACTCGATGCCCTCATCCAGGTCATCAATAAAGATATTGAAGAGGACAGGCCCCAGCACCGACCCCTGGGGAACACCACTCATGACCGGTCGCCAGCTGGATTTGACTCCATTCACCACCACTCTCTGTGCCCGGCCCTCCAGCCAGCTCCTTACCCAGCCAAGAGTGTACCCATCCAAGCCTCTGGCTGCCAGCTTCTGCAGGAGAATGCTGTGGGAGACAGTGTCAAAGGCTTTGCTGAAGTCTAGGTAGACCACATCAACAGCCTTTCCTTCATCCACCAGATGGGTCACTAGATCATAGAAGGAGATCAGGTTGGTCAAACAGGACCTATAATTCTATATATTCTATATATACTGTATAATATATATATATATATATATATACTATTCTATAGTTCTATAAACATCCTAGGAAGCTTCTCACTGTCTGTATTTAAGAGAACATACAGAAGCAATGTTTTATTATCACAGTGTTGTGTGAATTCTGTCTAATAGGTACTCTTTTTATTTGCAGTAACCAATGGAAAACATGAAATTGTTCCCAAAGACATAAGGGAAGAAGCAGAAAAATATGCCAAGGTAAGGTCTGACATCACTGATGTCATCTCAGTGCTGCTCTTGACAAATCTGGAATAGAATGAAGTAAGGAGCAGGACTGTAGCATTGCAATGACTAGAAATGTCTAGCTGCACAGATCACCTGTACCTGGGATATCTCCTGACGAGAGAACTGTGAAGCTCTCTCCATGCAATCCTGATATGGTTCATTATTAAATACACTGCATGGCAGCAGGCTTGCCCGTCTCATTTCTCCTTCAGAAATGTATGAGTCTAGTAATAGAGATGCTTAATATTTTAACAATATGCTGCAAAACAGTTAAGTGATTTTTTAAATTTTTAAATTTTTTAATTTTTTTTAAAGAAGCAGGTTAAATTTTTACCTAACTTCAGACAACTGAGGATCAGTACTCAGCAACAGATGGGGAAAAAAGAAAGAGTAATGCAACAACAACAACAAAGGTAAAAAACAGCAGGCACAGATGTAACTGCTGACTCATAAAGGGCAGCAGGACATGGCTCAGTAGAAAAAATAGTGACAGACAGTGTAGACGGTGGTATCACTGCCTACATGCCAAATGCTAAAACATCATTTAAAATTAAAACTAAACACATTGCTGGTTTCTGTAGAGGGTCTCTCAGCATTGTTAAACTTCCCCCCTGCCGTCCTGGTCATGTACAGCACTCAGAAAAATGTGCAAACTCTTCATTTTTCTCCTTGGATTTTGTCCTGGACCACGCACTGACAGTTTGAACAACAGCTCTTGGGTATCAAACAATGCAGTGGTCAGACAGAAGTAAAAGCTTTTGCCTTCTTGCAATGTCTGGATGGATTTCGGCAGATTCACTCCTACTCCAGAGCAACATTTGTGGCATACAGAGAAAGGGGTGGATGGGGGTAAAGGAGATATGAATGCTGGCTATTAGAGTAAAGATGTTTTGAGTTAAATATATAGAAAAATAGCTTTTTTTAATTTTTATTTTTTTCTTCTCTCCTGGAGAACAGACCTGGATCTGTTCAAACTGTCCAAATGATCCCTGGCATAGGCCTGGCCCAGAGCAAGTGGCACACTTCATTCTGGGTAGCATGAACACAGCATTACTCTCGAGCAATTTGTACGATGTGGCCGCCTTGTTTTCAAGAGTGGGTTGCTAGCCTGAGGCACTGATTTTCCTCACTTTGTGGCTATAACCTCAATGCCAGTTCTGACTGTCCATCCGTGGGCAATCTGAATTGTTCACAAGACAATCCACCAACTTCTATTTGGTTGGTTGGTTCCAACACGAGTTGGAATTGGCTGGATGATCACATTCAAAGAGCTGCCATTAACGGCTCAACATCCGGGCTGAGACCAGTGAGGAGTGGTGTCCTCGGGAGTGAGTACTGGGACCAGTATTGACGATGACACCAAGCTGAGCGGTGCAGCTGACACACTGAAGGGATGCCATCCAGAGGGACCACGATGGGCTTAAGAGAGAACCTCACGAAGTTCAATCAGGCCAAGGTCTACGCCTTGCTGTGCCTCACTGCAGCCTCGGGGACTGCAAGTTCAGCCTTCCCTCTGCAGGCGCTGGGAAAACTACCATAGAGTTCCTTCCGCGGCTAGAGAGCCCACAGACGACATGGCCGCCTGTAAGCGCAGTCGCCATGTTTTTTGTGGGCAAAAGCGGGCAGGGCAGGGAGGCGTGCCTGGGGGCGGGGCACCAGAGGGCGGAAGTAAGCGAGCCGGAAGTAGGCGGGGCGACTGCTGCGCGGGAAGCGGGAGAGCTGCCGGTGCGCGGGGACTGGTCGGGATGTCGGCTTGGGGCTGGCGGGGTCTCGTGTGACCCTTCGGCCCACCTCACCCCTTTCTCTTTTCCTCACCCCTGTCGGCAGATGGAGTTCAGCAGCAGAGCGCGGCAGCGGCACCTGAGGCTGGCGGGGGACAGGCGGGAGCCGTACCCCCACAGCCTGCAGTTCTACCAGGAGCCCCCCACCGAGAGCATCTCGCTGGTCGAGTTCGAGAGCTTCGCCGTGGACCGCCTGAGGCGTGAGTAGTGTGCGGCAGCCCTCGGCCTAGGAGCCCGCCTAATTGTATTCCAGTCCAGACATCTCCAAGCTTTGATTCTTCTAGTGGAGTGTGTTCTGGACTGGCCTAGGTGCCCCTCTGCCTGTTGCTGATTTAAGTTAGCAGCTCATTCATGTTATAATGAAGGCCTTTTAAAGGAGAGCTTGTAGCTATTTCAAGGAGCTCTGAGTGATTTCACACTTCAGCTTCAGTCAGAATTGTGTGGGTTTGGGTTAAAGTCTTGTTTTTCACGAGAGTGTTTTAGTGTCTCTGGATATCTTGATTGGGTGTTTCTCTGTGCAGGCGCTGAGGTCATGGCCAGGAGCAGTGCCCCCAGAGAGCCACAGAATGCAGGTTTCTGCCACTGCAGTGCAACTCTAGGGCTGATCTCCTGGTTGTGTGTCTCCCTGCTCTGCGCCCTTTCTGGATTTCAAGGCTGCATGAGCTGTTGGGTTTGAGGGACATAGTAGGAGTGGTGGTGGTGGGTCAGTGGTTGGACTAGATGTTCTCTTCTAACCTTAATGATTCTATGATAGGATGAACTGGGCCATGCTTTGTCCTCCTGACTTCTTACCCTTTTGCTCCCATGCTAACAGGAGTTTGCATGGCCTTTATTGAGTCCTTTTTTCGAATCATGATAGAGTTAGATTTCTTCTCAGTATGTTATCATAGAATCATAGAACAGTTTGAGTTGGAAGGGACACTTAAGGTCATCTAGTTCCAACTCCCTGCAATAGGCCTCCCTCTACAGCAGGTTGCTCAAAGCCCCATCTAACTTAGCACTGAATGCTTCCAGGAAGGGGGGATCCACAGCCTCACTGGGCAACCTGTTCCAGTGTCTCACCACTCTCACAGTGAAGAATTTCTTCCTAATATCTAGTCTAAATCTACCCTCTTCCAGTTTAAAGCCATTTCCCCTCATCCTGTCACTACCTGCATGCTATGACTCTATGGACTACAACTATGTTGTAACTATACGGACTATTTTTTTTTTCTCCTCTCAGTGCTCAAGGTAGTTGAAAACCTTGGTGTGAGCTATGTAAAAAGTGGTGATGCGTACAAAGCTAAGCTGGAGGCTGAGCTCCGGAAACTTAAGTTTCCCTACAGAGTAAGTATAAATGAAAACAAGGAACTACTTCTTTCACACTCTATTTTCTGTACACTGTTCAGAAATTCTGCACAGATTACTATTCCTAAAGCTTGAATTCTGGCAGTTTGACAGGATTTGTCTTCAAGAATACACATTTCTTTCTTTTGGGCAGTCGTCGTCTTTAATAGTTCTGTGTTTGTGGTTATAGATGTAAATATTAATATGATGTGAAACAGCAGAGGTGAATGAACTGTGGATTTCTAATCCTGGGAGGATCAGATCTCTGAAATAATAAATTTTTCTGTAGGCTTTGGCTGAGGATGATTATGATGCAAGAAGAAAGGATCATATTTCTCATTTCATATTGCGCCTTGCTTACTGTCAGTCGTAAGTACTTCTTGGATTATTCTTTGGTCTTATTAGTAAGTTTAAGTGTGTGTATGTATATACGTGTTATTATAGTTCGTGTAGGGCTGTATGGCTACTAAACATAAGGGTAGGTTCAAGTAGAGGCTTCTCTGGAAAGCTAATTTCAACTGAGAGGTTAAGAGATATTCAGGATCAAAATTAATATCCAAGATTATGTAGGTTTTAAAACTTTGTAATGTAGAAACTGTTGATTTTATGCATGGAGCAATGATATAAGTCTCTTTCTTTATTTTCAAGAAAGAAATCAAAAGGTCTTGTCAGTCGTTGATTTACCCAATTACAGAAAATGTAAGTGAACTGCTCCATCAGCTGTTGCTTACTGACCGAATGAAGAGAATAATCTGATTATGTGAATAAGCTTTATAGTACTGTCTAAAGAAAGCCTTATTTCTCAGAAACTAAAAATACTGAATCTGAGGTTTTCTTCACTGACTATTATTTTCTTCTAAAGTAATTGATATTTATTTATTGATTTATGTGAAATCTAAGGCATGTAGTTTGTCGTGCCAAGTGCTTTCCTTCAGTTTCAGCTATAGGCTCTGGATGAAGTTACAGAGGTTGTCAGTGCTTTATGTCTATTAGCAGCTTTGTTGTGCATCATCCCGACTCCTTGCCATTAAAATCCTGTTTTATAGTTAAAACTAGCAAGTACAAAGTGTGTGTTCTCTCTTGAGTAGTGGCTGTCTCTGGAATGAAATGTTCTTATGTTCTAAAGCCAGATGTTCCCCAAAAGATAAATCTGTGAGTCAAGAAGAATAAATACCTAGTTCTGCATGATTTTATTGTATTAGATCAGAAAAAATGAGCCTGGCACAAATTGTTACATTAGGTGGTGAAAGCTGCTAAGATAGCAGTCTTTGAAAAGTGTGCTTAACACAGCTGCAAAGTTGCTTGATTTCAGTTCCCAGTGGCTTGGCAGAGGGGGTGTTGACAGGCCTGTTCTGCTACACCACCTGTTTCTAGCAGTCCAACAGTGCCACCCAGGGGTGCAAGTCTTCATCAGCGTTTTTCTCTGTCAGACCTCTTGTAAAGTGGATTTTGTTTTGTATTGATTTGTACGTGGCCAAAATGGCATGGAGTGATCAGCTGCACCTTCTTGTTGTTTATACTGGTAACACAGTCTAACCTTTCACTGTCCTTCTGCCTTATGAAATCCAAGGCTTTAAAACTTACTCCTGTGTAACATTCCTAAGATACGATTTGTGCAGTCTTGAGTGAAACAGATTCATTTGTACCTTTCATACACACCTCTAACATCACTTATATCCAGCAAGATCAGGAAACAGAAATATCTTGTTTCATTCACTTTCATGGCAAGCACAGCTATAAGGAGAACTTTACTTTGTATGCAGGGCATGACCATGCATTTCTGCTTCTGTTGCATCTCTCTTCACTTTTTCAGCTAGCAAGAATCTCAGCAGGCGTGAGGGCATAAACTTCATGTTTCTTGTTTAACATGGAAGAGAAAATCTTTGCCTTTTCTCTGACAGTGAAAATCTTTTCAGTCAATACAAAGGTGTTTGAAAGTTTACTTTTTTGTGTTCTGTCACACAACGTAAACACAAGGTGTTAAATGCAGGCCTTTCCTCTGCAGTCTTCTGGTTTCAGCTGCCAACCAAGATAGAATTCTGGCCCGTGCTCTGACTTCACATGTTGACTGAAGGGGTTGGTAACTGAGCTGACATTTAATTGTGGAAAGTGATCTGCTAGCTCTAGGAGCACTTTCAAGTCTTCCTAAAGTACTTGTATCTACTTTGAAGCATCAGTATACATCTGTTTTTCTTAACACTTCTTGTGGGATGAGTAGGATTTTTTTTAATGCATATGTAGGAGTTATTTTTTTCATACTAAATCAGACCATCAGATTCACAAACAGAAAATTGAGTATTCAGTTCAAAAAGCTGGGAGGTGTTCCTCACTTCTTTACTTCTGCTATCTGCAACTATAGCAGCTCGCTTCACTGTGTGATCACAGCAACACTGCTTTTCACTTAAACTCTTGGCTTCAATAATAAATGTTATTGCTAATGTGTTTCTGTAGTGAGAATGTATGTTTCTCTAAATGGTAGTAAGGAGTGTAAGTCATTTGGATTTGGAAATGAAGTACAATTTTCCTGTGACGTGAGGAAAAGATTGGTGCTTTAATGATGATGTTTGCATGAATGTTAATTACAAAGTGTGTGCTTTATAGGTATGGTAATGTTATTTGTGTGAGCAATCTCTTAAGCCAGTCTTTCAGCTATGGGAACAATCTAGGTAGATAAGTGTATTATGTTAGAAATAAGTTCAGTGTTTCTTTGCTTTGGTAGCTTAAGTGGGTACGTGGGGACTACAGCACTTGATCTGCTCTTCCAGAGGATAGGAAGAACCAGAGACTGCCTGGCACCCCACATTCTTGATATAATTAATAATTTTTTTATTACATAGGGAAACAAATTCAACGTTAAGGACAAGAGTAAAATTGTATGACCACAGAATTTTGTTACTGGCCAGGATGACCACAGAGGAGCTGCAGAAGTTCGTTCATCAGCTTCCATAGGTTGCAAAGATTATTGATACATCTGAAATAAGAAATCTATCAGTACACAGGGCTGTACTTCACAGACCACTTTACCAAAGCCTTTCTGTCTGAAACTGTAATTGGAATAAGAGCTACTTACATTTCCAACCTATATTTTGAGTAGATATTTTGTCCTTGTGTTCTTGTTTGTGGTTCTCCTTGCTCACCTGCAGCTGCTAAACTCTTTTTTTTCTTTTGTCATGTGTTAGATGTTGTATTTGTATGGCACTGAACCTCAGTGAAGTACACATTTTTTCCCTAGGCTGATTCCAGTGTGTTTTTTGCTTAATGTAGAGCACTGTTTTTACAGTATCCTTTCTTATTTAACCTCTCCATTCCGTAAGTTATTTGCCTTCTTTTCCAAACTTGTTAGTTTGTGGGTTCCATGACGAAGTCATACTTGCATTTCAAGTTGTGTTCACAGGGTTGGACATCTACATCATCTCTCATCTATGATGAGAGAATGCATAATCAGAAAACATGATTGTTTAAATTATTTCTCTGCAGTGAGGAACTCAGACGTTGGTTTCTTCAACAAGAAATGGATCTGTTCCGATATCGCTTCCACGAACTGACTGATGGCCTGAGGCAGAAATTCTTGGATCATGTTAACTTATCATTTGAAGCTGTAAGTGTGTTACTTTCTGGATCTGTATCACGTAGGGTATGCCTGATGCTTTTTAAAATTGTCATTAAGGTAGTTTTAATACTTCTGTTTTAAACATGAAATGTGTACAGTGAAAAAGATCCAAAACACACAGAACTCCTGAACTTGGAGAATTGTTGTTAAGTTGTTATTCTGAACTTGCAGAGATGAGGGTTCAGTGGGATGTTCAATTTGGTGCTGGAACAAGGGAAACTTTGGTCTACTTCATCAACCAACACTTAACTGAAAACTGTAATTACGAAAGCAAGTTAACAAACAGTATTTCCAAAAGGTTATAGGTGGTATCATAGAACCCAGATTCAAAGAGTACTTAACTCTTAAGAACATTAAAATGAAAGAATGAACTTATGAAATTCTTCAGGAATGTAACTTACTGCGTAATTCTCAATGTGGGTGAAAATAATAGGCTTCTATTGTGCAAGTGTATCTATATACATGGTCGTATGTTTAAGCATGCTAAAATCAGTCGGATTCTGCTTGTTTGTGCATGTTATGGAACTTGCTGAAGGTATAGATGCGTAACCAAAGCTATCATTTAGTTTAAAAAGCTAGTATTACATGCAGTAGTTGAAGAATTTGTGTATAATTTAAAAACAAGTAGTAGTAATATCCAGTTAAGTAAGCTTTAGCACTACACAAACATTATACCCACGCATAAATGTAAATTATAGGACTTAATGTTTGTATGATCCAAGTATTTTAGCAAGGGATGAAACTTGAGGGTCTAACTTGCATACAGTTATTCCTCTTGGTGCTGGGAACTTGGTAATCTGTTCACAGAATCGCAGAATGGCCAGGTTTGAAAGGGACCTCAAGGATCATGAAGCTCCAACCCCCCTGCCGTATGCAGGGCCACCAACTTCTCCATTTAACACTGGACCAGGCTGCCCAGGGCCCCATCCAATCTGGCCTTGAACACCTCCAGGGACGGGGCATCCACAGCCTCTCTGGCAGCCTGTTCCAGCACCTCATCGCTCTCTCTATAAAGAACTTCCCCCTGACATCCAACCTAAATCTTCCTTCCCTCAACTTCAAACCATTTCCCCTTGTCCTGCTGTTGTCAACCCTTTCAAAGAGTTGATTCCCTTTCTGTTTGTAGGCTGCCTTTAGGTATTGAAAGGTTGCAACACCTTTCACTCTGCAGCCTTCTTTTCTCCATGCTGAACAAGCCCAGCTCCTTCAGCCTGTCTTTGTAGAGGAGGTGCTCCAGACCCCTGACTCTCCTTTGGACCCTCTCCAGCTGTTCTTTGTTGCTACCTAGCTATAGGATGAAATGAAACTTTTTCTGTCCTTGGTTCGTTCTGTTTCCACCCTATTTTGTAAACCTTGAAGAGGTTCATTTTGTGTTAATTTCACAGAATGAGAGAATCATAGAATGGCTTGGATTGGAAGGGACCCCAAGGATCATCAAGTTCCAACTCCTCCGCCACAGGCAGGGCCACCAACCACCAACTTCCTTTATGTACAAATGTCCAGTTGTATGCAAATGTTTTAAATACAGCCAATGTTTTATCTTTTTATTTAAGAAGCAATTTGAATTTCACCCATTGAGTACATGCTATGGAGAATATAACTGGCTTCCAAAATGCTGTAAATACTCTTACTCCACAGTTGTGTTCTCCTTACAATCAGCTTCAAAGGTTTTTTCCCTTTTGATTTAAACTCACTGCAGTTCTTTGCCAACGTAGTGAAAACCTTTGGAAATACCAAAACTGTGTAGACCAAAACCTGAAGTTTTTGAGATGATTTACAAAACAGTTCCTGCTGCTACTCAGTGCATTTAACTTCAGTATTTGTGTAAGAAGCCACTGGGACGTGGGCATTCTCAAAAAACTGCAAGCTTGATTTGAATGCATCCTTGAGATGCTCTTTTTGAACTGCTTACAGACTGTGTTGTAATCAGTTGTTGGAAATAGCTTTGGCCAATCTGAATTTTTGGTAAGTGTAGCAGATGCTTGGACTGAAGTTGCTCACCCAACTGGAATGCTTTCAGTACTCAACAATTTAATGATTTAACACTCAGTGCTCTGAAATGTTATCCCACCTCTTTATTCCATCATGTGCAGGAGGTAGTACTTATGGTACTGACTGAAATGTCAAGAAAGGAAGAGTGTAAATGCAAAGCAGGAATACGAGTGGGTGAGCAGGAGTGATGGACCTCATTCTCACTGTTTTTTGGTGGTGGTGAGCTGTTAAATTTGAACCATGGTATAAAATGGCGGCCTCATATGATTCCCTTGTTGCAACTTTTGTGTATTTTAATTAATTTTATTTTAAACTCTTCTGTAGATGATTATTTTGATGGAGACCCTACTGGAGCCTTTAAAAACTGACACTTTTCCAGTTAGTTATTTGACTGCAAGTAATAAGAGAGAAGTCTACTTGGTGGTATCTGGCCATGTAACTATCTTAATTTATTATCTTCATTTACCTTCTAATGCAATACCAACAGCTTTAAACTAAACAGCTTTATTGCTGCTGGTACTGCATTAGAAAATCAATGGTTTGGGATTTGTACTTTTCAGGCACTTTAAACTTTGATAGTGATATCTCTTTAAAACCAAAACTGATTCAATTTTGAAGATGATTCTATCTTAAAAGTAATTTGTATGGCTTTCATTAATAGCTTCACCCTCAAAGTTGTGCTTGGGAGCTCAAACGATTTAGAATTTAGCCTCTGTTTTCTCAGAAAGTAAGTTTTAGTTGAACTCTAAAAAGTGATGTTGTCAATATGAACTTCTTTCCAGTGAATAGAAAGACATTGAAGAAATTGAACATGTTCAGAGGGTTTTGAGTCTATTCTATGCCTTGTGTATGTTTAAAAAAAGAAAAAAAAGTGAAAGAAAAATAAAGGTTTGAAGGGATTGTGCTGTTATTGGTTATCACTAGATAAAGACCTTTTTACCTGTGGCATGTAATTTTCAGCTCTCAAAGCATGTTAAATAGTCTTTGTGCAAAGTCAGTCACACAGGGAGTACAGGATTTCCTTATGCAGCTCTCAGGGAGAATTAAGTGGTGACATTTAAGTATTCAGAGCCCATCAAAGAGGATTTGCAAACACAGGTGTGCACTTGAGATTCACATTAATTTAGGAGATTTAAGCATTAATATCATATTAGAAATGAATAATGACAGCTATGTCAGTTTCTGACAGCGAAAGCCATTAATGTATTTTAAAGATATTTAAAGGGAAATACCCTGGTATTTTCAGTGTTATAATCATGGAAGGAGATACATTAGGCTCAAAGCTTTTCAACATAGGGAAAGTATATTAACAGCTTCGGAGGTAAATGACACTTAAGGAGTAAACTGCAAAATGAATTTTTCTTCCTTGCTATAAGTGGTGGGCAGCTGTTTTCTGTTGTTTAATTTAGGAGTAGCTGGTTTGATTTCTGTCAGGTGATGCTGAATGACCCGTTTGGCATCACTGGATGTTATGGCTGGGTCCTGCTTTGTGCTGTGACTTTTAGCAGTGAGCTTTGTCTCTGCTGTTTTTGAACTGCTGTCCTGCTGTCTTTGAACTGCTTAGTTATCTGCTTGTGAAGGTGTCTTATGTGAATGACTTTGAAGGCTTTTGATACAATATGAGATAATTTTCTTTTGTCCCAGAGGTCTGTTGTACTGTCAGGCAGTGAGATTGGCTTAGAACTGGTTGTTTTTTTGATATCCATGTGTGCTGTGCTTTTTTTGCTATCAGATGCTTTGATTTGTTGATACATTTTTCCAGGAATTAAATTTGATATCTTGGAGCACGGGATAAAATGTCACTGAAATACAAATTTGGGATAAAGCTTTACATTTTGTTGATTGTCTTGATTGATCTGTTCTCCTGTGACACTTTTTCCATCTTGTCTTTGGATTGTTAGCTTCTTCCTGAAGCAGACACAGTTCCTTGTTGCTTCCACAAGAAATAAGTGTTATCATGACTTAATCTGCCATGTAAGGTGATGTATAATTGAATTTGGATTCCCTGTAATGCTTCTGTTCTTTATTATTCTGCACATTTCAGAGAGATAAACTTCAAAGTGAAGCATATTTTTTCTTGAATATGTTTTTCTCTGTTAGTGCTACCTCTCCACAGAGCATAAAAGATCCTATTTAAATTATCTTAAAAGTCTTTACCACTGAAAAGCCTCTTGAAATTAAAAAAAATATATTACAGCTTCCAGGTTAGATGTCATCATTTTTGGGTAGCTGCCAGCTGTTGGAAAATAAACTATCATAATTTTTTTTATTGCTGCTATGAAACAGGTTGTCTTAATATAATACTTTGTATCATAGTCATGGGGAAGGAACAGCAGATGGGAATATTCAACTGGGGGTGCTGATGCTCTGTTGTGCATCTATTAGCATTTGGGACGGAACAGTATGAACTGCAAAATAAAAGGAACAAGTAGAATTCATTAGTGGAGTTAATTTTTTTCACAGTAGCGCTTCTTTGATGTTGCAGTTAAAATACTTTCTATTTTAGCAGCTTTAAGTGCTAGAAATTAAAGTTTAATTTCCGTTTTTACGATCAGAGCACTCCTTTGAGAGACTTTCTGATATTCCTATTACGCTTTTTTTTCAGTAAGCATTTATTTCAGTGGTGGGGCAGTTGTATAAATATTTGTAGTGTAGCTTCTTGAAAAAATGCTTTGACTGCCTTTTTAAAAGGTATGGAAAATCCTGAAGTCAGATTTGGATTAATGAGAATGGGGCAAGTTTGTGTCCTGAAGAAGAGACACAGGTGAAAGTAAATACCCAACACTGTGTCTGTTCACTGAAAGGTCGTGGCTGTAAGTATTCACTTTGGTGCCAAGTGTATAAACCATACTGTTCTTCTGTTTGGGTTTATTTGAATCCCCTGTCGTACAAAGTTTAACATTTCTTCATTTCCCAAGCAGGGTGAGGGAAACTTTTTTAAAAGCAGAAACTGTCTAGAGCTAAATTTATTGTATGGAAACTTGCATCAAGGTAAAACAGTAACTGCGTTCAAGGAGGCTTGCAGTTCGCACTTATGAAGAAAGTGATTCTGAATTTTATCTTGGTTTCCTCCTCTGGAATCTTATGTTTGCTTGACAACCAACAGTACTTGTCTTATAGATGACAGTAAAGGTCAGAAAAGACACGTAAGTGGGAAATAGAGCCTTATTGTCATTGTAAGCTAAAAATGTGTTCTGCTGCTTGGTTGTATGCTTAAAGTTGTAATAGAAATAAATTCTGTGTGGAAGGGCTTATGTGAAGGTTAGTTGATTTTAACTGCTAGAGTTTTAAGGAACGTAATTAAATATTTGCTATCAGCACTTAAAGTGTAACAGGTTACTTTCATTCTAAAGTACGTATTTTCAGAGGAAATAAAAGATTTCTTTTTAATCATTCAAGCTTTGAAAGACGGATTTGATTTCATTCAAGTGAAACCAAGTGGCCTCTTCACTGCAAAGAAAATAGGTTGTTTCTTAAAAAAAAATACATATATATATATATATATATAACAATATATTGTCCCTGACAAAGGGAAAAAGGCCTGAGGTATTAGGGAAAGTCCCCAGGAGCCCTCTTTCCTCAAAACAATTGGCAGTGTGGGTCCTGCTCAGCCAGTAGGAGGTTCAGGCTCTTGTACTGCAGACCTGGGACTTAGGCCAAATGGCAGGTCTGTTTGCAAAGGAGTGTTGAAGCAATGGTATTTCCAAAGCAGTTTTATTGACTGACTTTAAGCCTTGCTCTTAGCTGATCTTAAAGGGTTTGAGCTGATTTCAAAGCAATGTGAGGTTGTTTTTTTAATGAGTTAGTATTATAAGGAATGTGGAGATGGAGTAAACTTTAAACATTTTAATGCAAATTTTAATAGACTTAGAGCTGATTGCAGTGTTTTCTTACAGCAATTTTTAATAAAGCTTGATGCATAGAAAAATACAGGTATATCTCATAAATCTGAGAGGTGGAATAGTTGAAAGGAAGGAGGGGAGAATGTGCAGTTATTTCATGTGCTGGGAGGACGGATGGCCTGAGATCTTTATTTACCCTTCTTTAATGGACCCTTGAACTATAAGCATGACTTAGTTTTCTCCATGATTAAAAATAAGCTTTTTGCTGCAGTAATTCTAGTTGTGTATTTATTTGAACATATGGTGTTGTAATGTAAAGTTGTGGAATTAAATAAGGAATGAATGTGATTGAATAACATACAGCTACTGGGGACGTCCCTTTTCACCTTCGTAAACATAATGAACAACAGTTTATGTGAATTATGCAAAATGCTGATTAAAAGTTTTAATTTAGTAATCATCTCAGTTTCATTAGCAACAGATGCTGATCATCTGCAGAAATCCAAATGGGCCATTATAAGATAATTCCACAAGTCAATTTTAACCAATAAAAGCTAATTAAACTAAAATGTGAACTGTACATTTAAGCTACTCGTGCCCCTTTTAGCGGGGTAGAGGACTATGATTCTTACTAAATAGCTTTGTACAATTCATCATTTGAATTAAAGCAGACTGTGAAGATCTTACCTACGATTGACTTCTTCAGTAATGGATACTACACACACCCTTGCAGCTTTGATTATATGTTCTTTTCCTGCTTTGAAAAGGTCATGTATACTTGGAAGTAAAAGTTGCAGAACGGCTGCTGTAAGAATGAGCTAATGAGTAAAAGCATTCTTAGACTTGATCAAGCTGAAAAAAATGAGATGGATTCAGAGTATTCTGAACTGCTTCATGTTCTGCTGTAACCTTGGATTTCTAAAAGTGATGTGAAGTGGCAGCTCTACCAGAAACGGAGTGGAGAATAGGTGTCTTCAACATGATGGTCTTCAGCTGATTTTAGAAGTGGTGGAATGGTTGGGGCACTGTGTTAACATGCTCTAGCATTCTGTGGTTGACCAGGTGACGCTGAACTACCATTTATCTAATAACTTGAAAATGATGGAAGAATAGCAAGTCCTTACATCATCCTTGTGGATCCTCAGTCCTTAGCAATTGATAATTAGAGATTTTTGTGGAAGAAACTTACTATGGACCAGGAGGATGGTCTCATAAGTGTCCTCTCTTTTGAAATATTTTCATTATTTTTTGGGGGGCCATAAAAAAAGAGAAAGCTGGGAAATAGTGGGTGGACTTATATAATTAATTATTTCCCCCTAATGATATCCATATGTTGTTCAAGAAGAAAATAAATGACAATCAACGCGTTAAGTTTATTTTGTAGTAGTTGAGTCTCAGTGTTTCCGTGATGAGTTTATTCTTCACATAGCAGTGAATACACTAACTTTGTAATGTTTATTTCGTTCCTTTTAGCACAGCACCGTGAAAGCTGATAGGATGGTTTTTACAGTAAATAATTGTACTACAATTTCATTTACTAGTTGCTGTTTTGGCTATAAGCATCATAAAATCCTCTGCAAACACAGAAATACTCTTATCCTGCTAATCCAATGATTGAATCTAGATCAATGCTTAAAATTTAACATTTGTTAATGAGTTTTTGTATAATTCATTTGGCTTTTTTTGATTTATAAATGGAAGAGAACTTATTGCCATATTTCTCATAAGAATTTTCTTCTAATTCTTCAGTCATGCATGACCCTAATGTGTATGTGATGTTTCTAAGTTAACATGGATAGAATCGCAGAATCATAGAATGGATTGGGTTGGAAGGGACCTTTAAGATTATCTAGGTGCACCCCCTGCTGTAGATAGGGAGACCTCCCTCTAGACCAGGTTGCTCCAAGCCCCATCCAGACTGACCTTGAATGCCTCCAGGGAGGAGGCATCCACAGCCTCACTGGGCAACCTGTTCCAGTGTCTCATCACCCTCGCAGAAAAGAACTTCTTCCTAACATCTAGTCTAAATCTACTCTCTTCCAGTTTAAAGCTATTTCCTCTTGTCTTGTCGTGACCTGCCCTTACAAAAAGTCCATCCCTAGCTGTTCTGTAGGCCCCCTTCAGGTACTGGAAGGCCGCTATAAGGTCTTCTTGGAGCCTTCTCCAGGCTGAGAGTGGGGTTGGTCTCTTCTCACTGGTGACAGGTGACAGGACGAGGGGAAATGGCCTCAAGTTGTGCAAGGGTAAGTTTTCTGTAAGGGGTAACTCTTTACAGAAAGGGTTGTTAAGCACTGGAATAGGCTCCCCAGGGAGGTGGTTGGGTCACCATCCCCGGATGTGTTTAAAAATCGTTTGGATGTGGTGCTCAGGGACATGGTTTAGCTGAGGGTTGTTAGATCTGGGGTAGTATGATTAGGTCGTGGTTGGACTCGATGATCTTTAAGATCATTTCCATCTTGAGTGATTCTATGGTTCTATGATTCTACTTTTCATCTTATTATAGCATTACACTGGCATATTTATAGACCAAGTTGTCATCTAGCTTATTTAAAAAAAATGTATTTCTGAAGTATTTGGAGGTTTTTAAACAAGCTTTTATTTTTATAAATTTCTTTATAAAATAAATCTAATTTATTTTAGATTAGTGAAGACCTGAAAAATGAATTGGCAAATGAGCTGTTTATGTCAACTCCTGGCCTCAGTATGACTAAAGTAAAAGAGCAAATGTTCTATAAGGTAAGTTGGAATTAATAAAATGCTGCAAATTTGCATTCTTTTTCTTTCAAAAGTATTCTAAGGTTTTACTATTATTATACTGACACTAATGAGAGTTCCTCTTTATTATGTAAGTGGGAGGGTAGAAGGAGGGACTGGGAATGTGGAGGGAGCTTCACCTGTCATTAATGGCTTCTGTTGTCCCTTGTCTTGCCATGAAAAAAATCTTCAGTTTAAACATCTCCCAGACAAATCATTTGGCTTAACTGGCTGACAGACTGTGAGGATGGGGACTTTCTCAAATATCTAAAACTAGATTTAGTTTAACTGTGTTAGTGTGAAATTCTTCTCTTCTTGCTTGCTACCAAAAAGTAAGACGTGTGTAGTGTAGCCTGCTGATGGATGGATTTCAACCATCTTTGCTTCCAAGGCCTTTTATATGTAGCTTGCAAGAATGAAAAATTTTGAGATGTCTGAAATTGAAGGTTTACAGAAGCTTAGTTTTAAGTATCAAATCATTTAGTGTTCAAAGCTATGTGATCAGGCTAGGTTGTTATAGTTAGAAATTTTGAGGTATCACATTTTGCCTAGCTTGCTTACATGTCCTTGAAATTAGATACTGTAAGTAAATGACTTCTTATAAATGAAGTTGGCATTTGCTTTCGGAATCTTTGTGTTTTGCCTGTAGCTTTATTAAAGGACACAGAATAACTTAAAGCCTCATTGGTCTGTTTTGAATCTTAGGGTTGTAGTAATTGTTACTGTGCTTTTTTGCTGTTTCATGGTTTATTTTTATTTTTTTTTCCCTTTCCCAGGTTGGACTGTCAGATGCTGTTGATCTGTTTAGAGCAAGAAGAGTGTTTATTAAAGATGGATTTGCATTTGTGCCACTGAAGGACATTGATGCTATTGTTTTGAATAACTATAGAAAAAACTTATCTAAAGCACTGGCGGTAAGGGTTCAAGCTTCATTTTATTAATTTTGTTGCATTTAATGGCACTCTTGAACAGAAGCTATTTTGATTTTTAAATTTATTAATTTGGTTTTACCTATGAAAAGTGCTCACATAGCTAAAAGCAAGCAAACAAAAAGACCCTTCATTAGTAAGCTGAGTGTTTCTTACCTTTAGTTGACATTTATGATACATACAGTGTTCACTGTAAATAATTTTCTGCTAGAGGATTTAAAAGCTCTTTCCTACACGTAGAGTAATGTGACTGTCTTTATGTCTGTGTTTTAAGTGAGGTTTTGCAACTTTTTTTTAAAGAAGTTCTCCCTGCACCCCTCCTCTTCTGTCAGTGAGAACTAAAGTAAAGAGAAGCAATACGAAGTTGGAGGTTGTCAAGCAAAAATAGGTCTTCATTGTATGAATGCTGAAGTACCAGGGGATGCCTATCGTTAACACTGTATGTAAATTGGTAATAATGCAGTGATCAGTGTAAGAATTGCTAGATTTATTATATTCAAATCTTCATAGGGTTTACAAGACAGTCATCACTGCAAAATCTTTGTTTTATTAGGATTTGATGATTAAAGACCATAATATTGTGATAATGCAAATTAGATTCAAATGATATTTCTAAAGATTGGCTTGTCTTCTCTGAGTAGTATTTAATCTCCTGTGGGTCAGTTTGCCTCTGGCAAACAGTCTTGGCTTTTGGACTGGCTGTTCAAAGCTTCTAAATGACAAACCACTCTGAATATAGTCAAAAGATGGTCTTTCAGGCATGTAGGTATGAGGAATCTTTCTTTATTGTTGTCTTTAGTAGTTCAGTTCTTCAGTGATAAAGAAGAGCTCTTTGCTAACAATTCTTTGAGATGTTATTGATTATGTGTGCTGTGTGTTGTGCTTCTGGGAGGTTCTTTGGTGCTATCCCAAGAAATTGTGTGCACGCGTCTTTGAAAGGACTTAGCATATACAGCAGTTATTTAATAACCCTCTCTTCTTAAGGAGCTCTGAAGCTGTTATACTCTGAGGCATACCAGTGCTAAAGGTACTGTTCTTATGTCACCAAAACATTGAGAGTTTGGAGTGTTGGCCTTGCCTCATCACATTGCTGGCTCAGCCCACTGCCTACACGTGTTATGGGGTGGATCTAGCCAGGTTTCTAAAGGAAGAGTAATAAAATGTGAATGAAATGAAAGAGTGAATGCTGTTGATATTTCATTTGAGAAAATGGTGAATACCTCATAATACATACTTTCAAAAAGGCTTTACGTTGAAGGGAGTGTATAAATAAGAGGGGGAACGGCTGTTTACAAAGGTGGATAGTGATAGGACAAGGGAGAATGGTTTTAAACTGAGGCAGGGGAGGCTTAGGTTGGATATTAGGAGGAAGCTTTTCACCCAGTGGGTGGTGATGCACTGGAACAGGTTGCCCAAGGAGGTTGTGGACGCCCCATCCCTGGAGGCATTCAAGGCCAGGCTGGATGTGGCTCTGGGCAGCCTGGTCTGGTGGTTGGCGACCCTGCACATAGCAGGGGGTTGAAACAAGATGATCATTGTGGTCCTTTTCAACCCAGGTCATTCTGTGATTCTATGCCTTTGTCCCTGTCACAAATTAATTTTGGTCACATTTATGCTTCACTTGCTTACTTGTCAGCCCTGTGAAGCAGTCATGTGTGTTTCATCCTTTTTAAAAACATGTTTAGTGTTTCAGTTATGCATCTGTTCTTCAAAGCTCTGTCACAGGGGGACAGTTAATACTCTTGAGAGCCTCCTTGACAGTTGTACATGCAACTCAAGTTCATTATTTGTGCAAAATCAATAATGTAAGGACCTTCTTTCTGTTTTCTCTCTCCCATTCATTGGTAAATAATTTTGTGTCTAATAATGACTAACAGTAGAAAGCATAAATATTTTCTGTTGTACGTTTCAGATTAGCTCTACATTTTTTTTATAACATAAAGCAAACTTTTATTAATTCAAATTGCATTGTATTTTATTCATGAGAGTTTTACTGAGTTTAAGCAAACACACTTTTCTGCAGTAATGTTATGTTGCATTTGATATTAATTTCAGTTATAGTGATGTAGAGAACTTGGGTTTTGAAATTATTAATAGTGTTAAATGTCCTTTTTTGTGGATAATTGCTTTAACCTCTGATTTCTTGAAATCAGGAGATTCTTCAGTGAAGGTGTGGGTTAGGGCTGCTGCTCGGAATATCAGGCCAATATCTCAGCTGTCTTAAATTCAATACTGCACAATGAAGTGGCACAAAAGGGAAAAGAAGAGGCTTTTGAGTCATTGGTTTGCCTTAGTGCTGCTTTGGCAGTTTTGTAACTTGTTTGGACTAGAGTTTACACTGAGCAACCTTTGTCCTCTGCACTTTCAGCCTCATGTAGTGAGCTGAACTGGCTGTAGGGATGGCTGGTATCTCCCACGTGGTGGAGGTGTTGCAGCACTTTGCGAGAGCTGCCATGCCATGTCTCATCCCCAGAAATGACATTATCTTTCAAAATGCATTTAAGGCTTTTTGAACTGCTCTTCTTGTAGAACTACTTAGTACTTAGTGTCAGGTACAGACTGTCTTCTTGCGTGGTTGAACAGAAAATCCTTTTTATAGATAATGTTTTTAGGTTGAGCATGTGAAATGCTATATTTGGTTATTAAAAGAACAGTAGTAGTCATGACTAAACCTGTCTATTATGTGTGCTTAGCAAGGTGCTGGCAGTGGGGCTTTGTGCTCCTCAGTGAGGCGAGGCTTTAAACCAGAAGAGGGTAGCTGTGCATTAATTATAAGGAAGAAATTCTCCACTATGATGGTGGTGAGACACTGGCACAGGCTGCCCAGTGAGGTTGTGGATGCCTCCTTCCTGGAAGGCTTTAAGGGCAGGCTGGATGGGGCTTTGACCAACCTGGTCTAGAGGGAGGTGTCCCTGTCTGTGGCAGAACCTAGGAACTAAGTGATCTTGAAAGTCCCTTCCAACTCAAACCATCTTATGGATTCTAGGTTTGTGTGTGTCTTTTTTTATCTTAATATCTTACAGTTACAGTGTTACTCTTCAAAGAATGTTTTAGGTTTTAGTGCTTGTTAAACATAACTTGTTTGCAGATCAACAAACGCTTCTGAACGTAAACAGTCCCATTTTACACGAGTTCTTTCATTGTCAGTTTAAAGAGTACTTTGCAAAGATCTGCAATTATTTTTGTTGGCAATGGCTGTACATTACAATCAGAGCCTGACAGCAGTCTTGCAGAAGGGCTGTCAGATCTAAACAGCCATGATTCCCCCACCCTACAGTTATCAGTTGAAGTTACAGCTTGGTTGGTCTTTGTATTATAAATCCACTGCAGTAAGTTGCTTTTGTGAAAATATTTTGTGAGAATGTGATGTAAGATTAAACTTTCTGCAAATGAAATTAAATAAAAAAATAGACTCCGATACTCTAAGAAATTGAGATTCTAGTCCTGATAAATACCATTTTAACAGGATGTGCAGTTTTATATACAGTTTTACTGGCGTGTGTTACAATACATTTTAATAGCATGTGTTTCTTCTTAACTTGCTAAGAGCTCGGTTTTATGTTGCAGTATGACCTTGTTAATTTGTTTGGATGTCTGCAAGTCAATTTTCTAGATTTTGGGGGTTGAGCACAAAGACTTCACTGGCTTTTTCTAATTTTGATGTGGTTTTTGTTTATTCCTCTCTCTTCTTGGGATTAATGTTTGAAACTGTTAGAAATATTGATGGCGTTGCTTTCATTTTTACTAATATTTGTGATGATTTGTCTTTTAAAACAAAACGTTTGTCAAACACAGTCTTTTGGTTTGTATATGCTGTATATTCCAAGAACCTCCATTCAGGTATGGCATGCATAGCACCATCTGTTAAACGGTTTCTTCCTGAAACACCTGTGCTTTCAAGCAGTGAAGCAGAAGGCTTTGTTCCATGGCATTAATGTTGAGAAAGTATGATTAATGATGCTCTTGCCACTTGAAATTCATTTCGGGTATTGTGTTCCCAGTGCTAAGTAATTCCCTATAACATAAATGGATGATTTTTATAATATGTGCCTACAAGGTTAGTAAGGTAATAACTTTGGCACTGCAGTGTAAAACGTGATTACATTCATTCTTGTCCTCTGCATTTCCCAGATAAAAGCATTTCTGTGAGTTTTGCAGGGAAGCAGCTGCTCTTCATTTCTTCGTGTTTTATTGTAAGGTTATTGTGCAAGGCATAGTTCTGCTGAAGAAAATGGTGATGTGTGGAGTGGCAGAAACAAAATTAAAGGAGGCAACTTGAGTGTGTACTTGTGTGTCAGAGAGAACTTAAACCTTCAGAATGGCGAAAGCTGCTAGACTTTTCTTTATGGAATGGTTGTTTTTCTGTATAGAGTTAAAACTCTTCAGTTGTCCTTTTGTTGTTGATTATTTCTCTGAAATCATCACACGGAGTTTTATCTCTATTAATTGCAGTGCATATGTTTTAGTGACCATATAGCTTGCTAGCATAAAGTAATTGTAATGTAAGTAAAAGTAAGTGATGTTAGAATTTGAAATGAAATTTCAATGCATTCAGTATTTTGTCTTCAAATTTGTTCTGTCTGTTCCTTGCATCTACTGCAGAGTACAGCTTTTTTGTTAATACTTTTGCTGTCAAAACTATTGCTATGATCCTTGGATTATCCTCTTTGGTTTGATTTGTACTGAAGCAATTCTGTCTCCAAATCATCTATGGCGTGTCGTGGTAGTAAAACTCATACAGCAGAATGCATGGGATTTGAAACATGTGGAAGGCTTCCTTAACTCTTAGCCATTCCTTGGATTACAGAAAAATTGTTTTGGAATGCAGTACAATAGTAGGAAATGCAATTTATTTATATTTTGTACAACAGTGTTAGTAACCTAGGAATGCTTCAGTTAATATAGTACCTTTTATAATGCTACAGGACAAGAATTTATTAACATGCTGGCAGCAGTAACTTGAGAATGATGCACTGAAGTCAGTA